TGCTGAACCCCTAAACAGCCAGTTAGTCCTAGATTACTGAACAACACAGGTGGGAACCAGGCCTTTTAAAATGTGCTCATATGTGGAAGCTGATTACTTCAGGAGCAAAGCTCAGCTACCCATATCCACATTTTCCTTATCTGGAAGAGCTGGAAGACGCCACCTTGAATGGGACTCTGAAAAGGTAGCGTGGAAGTATTCTAAATAAATAAAGCAAAGATATCCCTAACACCATTAATAATGGGAAGTGAACATATAATGAGTATTTTCAGATTCTCCATCTTGCCTCTGTCTTATTTATGTCTCTTAGATTTCATATGGATCTTTCGAATCAACAATGAATGATGAAATCTATTTCCCTCCCTTTTACCGCATGGTCCCCAATGAAGGCCTTCAGTATGTGGGAATTGTTCAGTTGCTTCTACATTTCAGATGGAAGTGGGTTGGGCTGATTACTATGGATGACCAATCTGGAGATCATTTCTTGCAGACATTGGAGCCGATGCTTTCTAAGAATGGGATCTGTTCAGCCTTCACAGAAAGAGCTGCAACAAAAAAAAATGTTGATATCAGAGCTGAAACCGCCCAAATCTTATACAAAAACAGTTCAGTTCTGGAAAGTGAAGCCAGTGCTATTGTTGTACATGGAGAAACATCCACTATTATATGGCTGGCAATAATTATCTGGCTAAGGTCTCTCAGTGATTTTGAGTATACAGAGAGAAGCTCTGCAGGAAAAGTGTGGATAACAACTGCCCAAATTGACTTCACCTTCACGAGTATTCAAACATCCTCGGACATAGAAATGTTTCATGGTGCTCTTTCCTTCACAATTCACTCCAGTGAGTTAACAGGTTTCCAAACGTTTCTTCAGACTGTAAAACCTCCATGGACAAATGAGGATGGGTTTTTCAAGAACTTCTGGGAAGAAGAATTTGATTGTTCTTTTCCCAGTTCTAGAAAGTCTGCAGAGAATAATGAACTATGTAGTGGAGAAGAGAGCCTGGAGAGTGTCCCAGCAACATTTTTTGAAATGAGCATGACCGGCCACAGCTACAGCATCTATAGCATAGTTTATGCTATGGCATATGCCTTACATTTCATGCACATAAATGATAAAAGGACACAAGAGCCTATGAATGTGGAGCCCTGGCAGGTACTCTCTCTCCATTGTCTTAGGTACCCTGTATGTTCTTAGTACAATATATTGGTGTTAAATTCATTCATCAGTATATCATTAATCCTTAAGACGATTTTAATAATCTGTAGTTGTCTTTCTCATTTGGCCTAGCTCCACTCATTTCTGCACTGGATCTCATTCAATAACACTGCTGGAGATGAAATTGCATTGAATGACCATGGAGAACTAGCAGGTGGATTTGATGTTAGAAACTTGGTCACTTTCCCAAATAACTCCTATGTTAAAGACAAGGTTGGAAGGCTGGATCCTCAGGCTCCTCCAGGGAAGGAGCTCATCATTCATGAGGACAGAATTACTTGGCACAAACGTCTGACACATGTAAGCAAAAATAGAAGAAAATCATAATCATCCATTAAATTGGGGGGTGGGGGTGGGAGGAGAATCATTTCACTATGCAGTGCATATTTATGCCATATTAGGAATAAGGCCCATTGAGGAAATAAATACAATGTACTCTAGAAAGAGGCTCTGGGCAAGTGCCCCAGCCTTGGGCACTCAGCATCAATTTGCTGTGGTGACCTCAGCAGTGTTTAATCACACAGAATCCATCATTTTCTCCAAGGGAATTGATGTCTGCCATCTGAAGAGCAGTTGTAATTCTGAGTTATCTCCAGCCTCCCCTGGAGATTGGCAACAATGGTTCCCCAGGAGGAAATGGCTGGTTTGGAAGGTGGAGTCTATGGCATTATACCTTTCTGAGGTCCCACCCCTCCTCAAACCCCACCCTCTCCAGGATCCACCCCTCAAATCTCCAGGAATTTCCCAAACTGGAGTTGGTAACTCTATCTCCTTACCAGCCAACCATCAACCTACTTTTATCTGCCCCTCTGACTTCAGCTTTCCATCTCCCCACCACCACCTCTACCTAGGAAAAGCACAGACTTTCTCCACAGTGGAGACCCAAGCAGGAGGGAAGCGACCTCAGCAGGGTATAATGATACAGTCCACCCTGCAAAGCAGCCGTTTTCTCTAGGGGAACTGATGTCTGCCATCTGGAGAGCAGTTTTAATTCTGAGTGATCTCCAGACCTCACCTGGAGATTGACAGCAATGGTGTCCCAGAAGAAAATAACTCCTTTGGGGGGTGAACTCTGGCATTCTATTCAGCTGAAGCGTCTCCCCTCCCCAAACTCTGGCTTCCATAGACTCCCCGACAAAAAGTCCAGGAATTTTCCAACCTGGAGCTGGTAGGCCTGGAAAGGGCCTCCTGCCTTTGCCTTTTTGTTGACAGAACCAAGCTTGGTTGCCTAGAAACAGCCACTGAGGGAAAAGTTAGCCTCACAGGAACCAACCAGAAGAAGCAACTTCGTCAGGAGGGACAGCTGTTTTGACAGTTTATTCTGTCAGGGAACAGTGGCCAGGCTGGCAGTGGGTGGGAGAGAAAAGCAGACCCAGCACCCAGCCAATGGCATGCGAATACTCTTGGGTAGTGATTGATGGGCCAATGGCTGATGGAGCACACAGCACAGCCAATGGGAGAGCTGGAAAGTGCCAATGGGTTAGGGCTTTTATATATATCAGATAATTCACTGATAAGCTGTTAATGATCCTGCACAAATTTTGTATATCATAGAAAGTTCTGTCTTCTTGGCTTTTCTGTTATGTTTTAAATTGTATTTATCACAATTAACACACCCTCTTGGTGGTCTCAGTTATTATATTTCTGTACATTTGGCACTCTTGTTGGTAGATCTGGTGTAAAGCAAAATCTCCAAAGTACCTTTTGAAGTCTAAATTCTTCTGTTTTCCCAGAATAGGTGCCTCCCTTTTCTGTCTGTAATGACAAATGCAAGCCAGGATACAGCAGGAAAAAGAAAGAGGGAGAGAAATTTTGCTGCTATGATTGTGCTCCATGTCCAGAAGGGAAGATAACAGACCAAGAGGGTAGGAGATGTACTGTTACAAATACTCATCCAGTTAAATAGAAAGAAATTCTGTGAACTAGTTGCTGGGGCTAGATATGAGAGTATTTGAATACCTGCAATACAGAGAATGTAAAAACATGTTAAAGATTATGTCCCTTGATTATAATTTTAATTTTTAGTCATTTCCTCAGTACTTTTCAGATTCTGCAGAGGCATTATGAGGACTTTCAGATATACAATGCTATCATCAGCAGAGTTCCACTGTTCTAAGTTGAACTGAAGTCAAGGGGCTTTGAAGGGTACATTCTCTGGTTAGGATTCCACTGACTTATTATGATGAAAATGATTGGACTCTGGGGCATTAACAAAGAGATTTTAGGGATGCTATTTTGCAATGGATGCACTGTTATCTTGGATAGAAATGCAAAATCCATTACCAAAGAATAAGTGTGGTTCATTATATGTTAAAGAAAAAGGACACCCAGGAAGTAGACATGAATAATCAGCTTCCTTTTAAGAAAAATAAACCCTTAAAAAAGGGTGAATAACATCACCATGCTTCTATTTATGAGACATAATGATCCTTCAACCAGGAGTGGATTCAGTCTGCCAGTTTGCTCATTGAAAGAAAGTCACTGTTGAGTAACACAATACTGAAGCGGTGGGGGGGGGGATTCAGTCCTTGACATCGCATGTTCAGTACTCACAGGTTAGGGTACTATCACAAAATTGCTCTCACTCAGGTTTCCTGATATTGATCTTTGAAATCAGCTGCCTATTCCTACTTAGAAACTTTGCATCTTTTCCTTTTCCAGACATGGAATACTGTGTTACTTGTCCAGAAGATCACTATTCACACAGCAGTCAAGATCAATGCATCCCAAAGACCCAAAACTACCTCTCCTTTGCAGAACCTTTAGGCATTGTTTTAGTTTTCTTGGCTCTTTTTTCTTCTGTGATTACAGCTCTGGTGCTTGCCATCTTTGTTAAACACTGGGATACTCCCATAGTCAAAGCCAACAACCGGAATTTCACTTACATTCTCCTTGTCTCCATCCTTATTTGCTTCCTCTGCTCTTTGCTCTTCATTGGACAACCTAAGCAGGTGACCTGCTTCCTCCGACAAACAGCTTTTGGCATCATCTTCTCAGTTGCTGTTTCTTCTGTCCTGGCAAAAACTGTGACTGTCATTGCAGCTTTTATGGCCTCCAAGCCTGAAAATATTTTCAGGAAATGGATGGGGAGAAGAATGACATATTCTATTGCTATTTCATGCTGCCTTGTTCAAGTAGGTATTTGTACTCTTTGGCTGAGTTATTCTCCTCCATTCCCAGATATGGACAAGCATTCACTGAGTAGAGAAATCATAATGCAATGTAATGAAGGGTCAGTCACCATGTTTTACAGTGTCTTGGGCTACATGGGATTTCTGGCCACCGTCTCCTTCATTGTGGCTTTCCTAGCTAGAAAATTACCTGACGGTTTCAACGAAGCCAAGTTCATCACCTTCAGCATGCTGGTCTTTTGCAGTGTTTGGCTGTCCTTTGTCCCCTCCTATCTGAGCACTAAAGGAAAATACATGGTGGCCATGGAGATCTTCTCCATCTTGTCCTCCAGTATTGGGTTATTGTGCTGTATCTTTTTCCCCAAATGCTATATAATAATACTGAAACCTGAATTGAACAGTAGAGAGTATCTGGTCAGAAAAAAGCATTAAGATCTTTAATAGTCTATCTGTCATCTCTGTTGTTATTTCTGTTGGTACTGAAACATAATGGGAATGTCTGTGGCAGTGCAACCAGTTTCGTGTAGTGGTTAGGAGCATGGACTCTAACCTGGGTGAACTGGGTGTGATTCCCCACTCCTCCACATGCAGCTGCTGGGTGACCTTGGGCAAGTAACAGTTCTCTTAGTGCTGTTCTTTCAAGAGCAGTTCTCAAAGAGCTCTTTCAGCCCTACCTACCTCACAGGGTGTCTGTTGTGGGGACGGGAAGGGAAGGAGATTTTAAGCCGCTCCAAGACTCAGAGTGAAGGGTGTGGTATAATTCCAATCTCTTCTTCTCTTCTTCTTCTTCTTCTTCAAAATACTGTACTTACTCTAATCTACTGAAAGAGCCACTGTAGTCTGTTACAGACGATTGCTGCCACCGCTACTATCGCTACTAATTAGCTTTAGTATCAGTATTATTAGTATTATTACTGTTCTGAATGTTATGGGTGATGAAAGAACACTTTCTATAATATCACCTTTCTCCTCTTTTCCATGGTAGCAGTCATTACTAAATGTTGGAATTAAGCAACTCAAAGCCTATTACACAGAACCCATTCTGTCTCTCTGTTTAATGATTGAAATAAAGGAATTGTACATCTGAATGATCCATGTCAATCTACAAAACAAAGCATGAGAAAAAAATTCAAAAGTGAAAAGGAGTAGCTATGCCACAAATTTAAAGATAGACTAAAAGAATGTTAGACCTTGCTGTCAAAGAGAAAGGAAACAAATGTGAAATTATTATATCATTTGGTCTGAATTTGTGGATTTCTTTAGACATAAACATATACATGTATTATCTTGTATATAATATGGGATTTGCTGATCACTACAAGGCCAAGCAGTAAATTTTGGGGAGTGTCTCTGATTGGTCATAAGAGATCCCCTGATTTTTGCCCGCTTTATAGTGTATCAGGGAGCTGAAGCTTATTTAAATAGGTCTGGTTGGTGTAGAATAATAAGGTACTAATGGGGGAGGCAGGTTGGAAATCAGTAGTAGAGATGGCCAATAAGGCTGCCAGATCCCCTGGGAAGCTACCCACTTTAGGGGCCCCTGATATGCCAGCCTGTATCTAGCCAGTGGGGGGAACGCCACCTCCAAAGTGCCTGGACTGGGCCGATGTGCCTGGCATGATGACATCACTCAGAGGTGACATCATCACGCTAGGCACATCACTGGAAAGATGCTCTAGCATTTGGCCTGAAAACTCTATGGTATCATAGAGTTTCCAGCTGTAAGCTAGAGTGTCCCCCTGGCAATGTGCCTAGCGCAATGACATCACTTCAGAAGATCCCAGGAGAAGAGCTTCTCCCCACCACCACCAAAAAAAGGTAGAGACCTGGCAACCCTAATGGCCAGGTTTGGACCCTGGGTTGAATCACCCCCGTTTTCGGAATGACACTTATTTGACAGAAAAATCACATCAGATTTAAGGTTGTTCGAAAATATATAATAATAAAAAGGATCTGATCATCTGTCCACCTATTTTTCCATCTATAGCATACGTAAATCCTCAGAAAATGAAACTGGGAGTCCCAAAACTGACCCCTGGCTTCAGGCTGAACATCAGAGTTGTAGTGTTGAACATAAAGGGAATAATAAAGGGGATGACTGTGAAAGGTACATCACTGAACAAGAAAGGAAAGGAACCTCCTGGCCCTCTCAGTCCCCACAGCCCCCCTCCCCGTGTTTTTGCTTTGTAAGCAACAGTTATTTATGGCAGGCATAACACATTGGAAAATAATGCTTGGGACTTCATAACTGGTGACAAGATTCAGAATGATGGTGGGACTTCCAGTACCAATAATGGTACCATCATGACTATGTATGGTTCCAAACAAACCTCTCATTTTTGCAAAGGTTTACTTATGAGAGGCAGCAGTGGCAATCAGCACAGACAGGGAGGGTAGAAATACCATCTCTCTGACAAAACGGTGGGCGTTTAACAGCTCCCATGACCTATCAGACCCTGTATGAAGTAGTGGTTAGAATGCTGGACTAGAATCAAGGAGATCCAGGTTCGAATCTCCACTCTGCCATGGAAGGCTGCTGGCTAACTTTGGGCCAGTCATACATTCTCAGCCAGACCTACCTTACTGGATTGTTGCATGTATAAAATCGAGGAGAAGAGGACAATATATGCTGCTTTGTTTCCCTGCCGGGGTAATGGCAGGGTATAATGTTTACTTATAAATTTTACTCAGCCCAGACTCTTTGTTAGAAGTATAAGAAAAGGAGATTGGATTTATGCCCTGCCCTTCACTTGGAGTCTCAGAGTGTCTTACAAACTCATTTCCCTTCCCCTCCCCACAACAGACACCCTGTGAGGTAGGTGAGGCTGAGAGAGCTCTTCCCAGAACTGTCCTTGAAAAAACAGCTCTGACAAAACTATGGCTTGCCCAAGGTCATCCAGTAGCTGCAAGTGGAGGAGTGGGGAATCAAACCACTACACCAAACTGGCTCTCTTCAGTAACTCTTCAATCTCCCCAGCCCAAGCAGTCTTTATGGTACTACTGGACTCTTACTATTTTCTGCTGCTACAGACAGACTAAAGTGGCCACCCATCTTGATCTGCCTCACAAGTTTGTTGTGGGGAGAAAATGGAGGTGAGGGAAACAGTGTAATGTACTTAATGGTCCCCATTGTGGATAAAGGTGGGGTATAGATAATTCAAATAAAATAAATTAACTTGCCGAAGGAGGACAGAGTGGGCCTTGGCAGCCAAAGAACTTTTCCCAGTTGTGAACCCCATCCTGGAAACAAAGTTGGGAAAGCCATATTGCTACATCTTGCTTTTTCATGCCAGCACATGAAAGAGATCTGACAGGTCCTGAGTGTATCCCTCCATCTTCAGATACCACAACTCTACCTAAACTTCCAAGATGACCCACACATTCTGCCAATGGCCTAGTTTTAGGCCTCCCAATTTAGGGAATTGGGCTCCAGGTCCCATTTACCACTCCCAAGAAACTGAGGAAAAGAAAAAATGGCCTCCACATAGTGATGCAGTAGGAATTTCCCCCAGTCTCTGTGGTGAAGAACTCAGTTTGGGTCTCACTAACCCTATTGGGATCAGACCTATTTAATTATTTCTCTATCCAAAGCAAAATGTGAAGCAAGTAGAAAAGGATCCCAAGTTACTTGAGAGAGGATTCAAGGAGGAGAGACTTATATTTATTTTGTACAATTGACAGATATGGGCCCCGGTCACACGTAAACTGTGTTTTCTCCCCGGCATCTGATCGTGCTGGGGAGAAAAGGCGCGGCTTTTAAAAGCCGCGCTTTGAGCGGGTTTTCCCCTGCCGTGTGGCAGGGGCCATGAATTACCATCTGAGCAAGGCAAACTGCCTGTTCACTCATTGTATAGGAATACTTCTTATTCTCCACTAGGGCCTCTGCTCCTGTTTTCTCTGCTCGCCAGATCTGTAGTTCCCTGTACTCACCGTATTTTACAGTACTTTTAATACTACATGAGAACTAGTTAAACCTCCTGCCAAAAGGCTGCAGCAATACCAGATGAAGCAAAAACAAGAGTGATCATCCTTTGTTGGCAAGATGTCAGCAAAATCAGATTTATAACCAATGTCCTACCCTGCCTTTACACCCAATGGAGACTGAAAAGTACTGAGACTTACTATTGATTTCAGCTCTCATACTTTAATTCCAGTGTAGAACAAGACAAAGTTTCCGGCTCGCAGGCCGGTTTATAAAGGCACACCACCCACACCCCAAATGCACCCCTACACCAGTGATAGGTTATTTACAGTGGCCGAGAGTTCGATAGGCTCGGCTAGGAGCCTAGCCCACCGATTGGTGTGGGCTAGGATCTGCTTGGCCCATTGTTCCTGTGAGTGAAGCTCAGTCGCTTCGCATGACCATGTGGAGACCAAGCCTCGGACGCGGTTGGAGATGGATACATTACAGAGACCCAAAACAGCTTACATGATTCTCCTGTCCTCCATTTCATCCTCACTATAATAACCCTGTGAGGTAGTAAGCATGAGTGGGCGTGAGTGGTCCGAGTTTGCCCAGCAAACTTCTGCTGCTGAGGCAGGATTCAAACCTGAGTCCCTCATCACACCCTCTGAGTCGCTAGTCACACACTCTAAGCTTTGTTTTATAAAGGAGGATAAGGCCCACTTCCCCTGTTTGTTCTAACTTTCATCCTACTGGAGACCCAAGGAAGCTTTTGTCATTCTTCTTCCGCCTCCATTTTATCCTAACAACAATCCTGTGTAGTAGTTGAGACTGAGAGTATGTGACTGGCCCAAAGTCAACCAGTAAGTTTCCATGGCAGAGGTGGGATTCAAACCTGGGTTTCCCAGATCCTGTTCTGACACTTTAACCACCGTACCATGGTAGCCAGTTTTGAGGCTCCTAGCTTTATTTTTTGGCTGAATTCTGCCTGCCACAGTCAACTTTGGCTTCTATTGCACATAATATTGGGGGAGGTATTGGAGATAACCTGAGCAAGGATATCCTGATTCACTTTATTTTTGGCACCAAAATTGCTATCATTGTCGTGGACTTGGTGGCCAATTTTCAAATCCTTCACTATCTTTATGGATGAATTATCCTGGCCACAGACAACTTTTGCTTCTGCTACAGTTGGGGGGGCATGTCTGGTGATAATGTGGGCCGTGATTTTCCAATTTCCTTTGTTGGGGGTGCTTCAGCTCCTATCATTATTCTGAACCCAGTGGCCAATTTTGAGGCTTGGCTAGGGGTAGGAGAATAATAAGGGGGTGTTGGCCAACATCCTGACACAGTGACATCATTTCCCATGTGACTTGAAGTGACATCAGCATTGTCATGATCTGGGCTGTGCCACCAGAGGCCTACTAGGCCCAGGGAGCCTGGCTAGCAGTAGGTGAGGCTGAGCCTACAACTTCCAGAAGCCACTGAGAGGTTTTGGAGCCAAAATTTACCAATAGGGAAGAAGAGGGCTGGGGAACAAAAGGGCTGGTGCCAAAGCAGAAGCTGTTCTTTCTTCCAAAGGGCAGAGCCAGAAGGAAGGCTGCTGCAAGGAAGAAACCCTCATCCTCAGGGAAGGGTGAGTAGTCTAGTGTCACTTGGAATAGTGAGCTAGGGGCAGTATATATTTAGACATGTTAGGGCATTTGATTTCTTTTCTTTTCACCCACTTACTGTTATTATTCTACACCTTGTTGTTTGACCTCCTATAAAATGAACTATTTTCATTGTTCACTCTGCCTGGTCCTCACACCTATTATTCGGCCAAGGGAGGTCTGAAGGTCTTGGGAGGGTGCTCTGGGCCTTCTCAAGGGAGCCTGGAACCAAAGTGGTGTCAGCGTCAGGTGACACCCCATCTGAGTTGTGACAAGCATGTCATGTGGAATGCTCTTCCTGTCAGGGAAAACTCTATGTTTAAACCATAGAAGTTTGTCCAAATGCTACAGCATCCCTGGGAACATGCTGAAGATACTTCTGGTTGTATGAGAAGTGACATCAGTGTGTTGCCAGTGATGTCATGACATCACCAGCAAGGCCCCCACAAACTCTTGAGTCTCCATGTGCTGGAAACCCTACTATTTCCAACCACATGTCCAGGGCCTAGTATTAATATGGGCCCCCATGTGGAGCATCCACATCATTGCCCAGTGACTCTGCATCACTCCTTTGCTGCCTGGTTCTGTTTTGTGAGCACTTAAAAGGATTGTAGCTCATTGGGTGTCCTCTTACCTTACCTCAACTTATCTGCTAATAAGGAGGAAGTCTAGGGCTCTCTTCCAGCCTTGTTTATAGAGATGGCTGCCCTAACCATGCATACTTGACACATACCTTCACATTCTTGTGAGCCTTCTCAATCCCACAACAATTTGGCAGGCTGGTTTGTTATCACTGTAGTACTTAACACAGCCACAATGCAATCTTGCCCAAATTTTCACCCGACTCATTTTCTTGACCCCTATCAGCAAGACAGAATGTTCTACCTGGGTTAAAGTTCTGCACAGATTTTAGGGAACTACCCCTGTTGACTACCCCATACTGTAATGGTGGAACCTCAGTGTGGAATTCTCCATACCTAGACATCTTTATTTTGCCATAAAAGAGCGATTGCCCAGTTGTGGTGTTACCACTACTATTCCAACCATGATCACTTCCTGTATGATCCCAACCTTATTTATGTATTATTTAATAAATTGGATTTGCTAGGCCACCCTTCCCTGCAAGCAGGGCTCCGGGCAGCTTGCAACAAAGCAAAATGCAATAAACCATTTGGTTTAAGACCAACTTTAAAAATTACCTAAAAACATGTCAATAAATAAAGCAGTATACATTCTAAGATTGTGGGGGAGGGGGAATTCAGCTCCCCAGGCCTCTTGGGGGAGGGGTTACGAAGGATAGAGGGAGTATGTGAGAGTGCCAGTTGTCCAGTTGCTGTCCTCAACCAAATGCCTGGCAGAACATCTCTGCCTTGCATGCCATGTGGAAAGGTAGTAACTCCCACAGGGCATGGATGTTTTCCAGCAGAGAGTTCAACCAGGCAGGGCAAAATTGAGGACAGCCAGATATCTCTTAGGCCAGGAGAGTCTTATTCCCTGATAGTAATGCTGTTCCAGGGGCATACCAAGAAAGGTGGTCCTGAAGGTATGTAGGTCCTTGACCACTAAGAGCCTTGAAGGTCAAGACCAGAACCTTGACCCTGATCTGGTGCTCCACTGGAAGCCAGTGCAGCTCGCGCACTCAGGTTGAATGTATGTCATCCGAGCGGTCCTGGTAAGAACCCATGCGGCTGTGTTCTGGATCAATTGGAGCTTCTGGGTCAGGTGCAAGGGTAAGCCTAGGGGTCACTATGGCTGTGGTCACACACACGAAATAATCCACTTTCAATCCACTTTCAGTGCACTTTCCAAATAGATTTTACTGTGCAGACTGGCAAAATCCAGTTGGAAAGTGCTTTGAAAGTTGATGAAAAGTAGATAACTTAGTGTGCGTGACCACAGCCTATAAGATATTTTTTTTTCATACTACCCAAGAGTCATGGTGAAATGAGACAAACATATTTGCTTCCACTACTAAGGATTCTACACAGAGCACACACACAAAAAAACCCAGTTTAGAAATGATCATCTCCCCTGTAATTACCAAAACACTGTAATTCATTTACCCATTCAAAGCCCCAGTGACTGCCTGAAGGACATGGTATGAAAATTTAATAAAAAAACTGAAATGCTTGGTTATTAAAAAAAAACACTGATCCAAATCATAACTAAGATTAGGGACTATAGACATGTCGTTCTTACTGCAGATTATTATTGTTAATCATTGTTCCTCAACTGACATTCAGATTTTACTTATGGAACATGGCTGAGACAAAAGGTACGGCTGCTGCATGCCCATCTCAGAAGTGTATTGACAATGCCAGCTGCAGCCCCCAAGTTATGTTGAATACACCTTGGAAAGGCTTGAAGGGAAGTAGGGCAGTCTGCACCTTGACTGAAACTTTGCCATGGTCATGATGGAGATAGTGATGCTGTTGTTGTTGCTCCCTCACATCGTCATGATGGAGACAGTGATGCTGTTGCTCCCTCACATTCTCATGACAAAGACAGTGATGCAGTTGTTGTTGTTGCTCCCTCACACGGAATGTGTAGAGACGGAACCCCTTCAGATTCCACATGAATGGTACCAGCCAGGAGACCTCCTCATTGGTGGGATTGTTTCTCACATAGGTTATTATTCCTACAGTGTTACCTTCAAGAAACATCCTTCACAAGAGTCTCTTGACTTTCCAATGTGAGGAATCTTCCCCCCTCCTCAATGTCTAATTTTAAGTTAATAATGTTTTGTGTCTGGAGAAACAGAGTGCGCTCTCTCTCTCTCGCTCTCTCTCTCGCTCTCTCTCGCTCTCTCCTTTGCTCTTCCTCCTTCCCACCTAGTTGGGGCATTCCGCTTCTTTGTATTATTTTCTTGTCCAAATCTACAGATGGCATACCCTTGTCTTTGTCTTTTAACGTCTGCCTCTTTGACTCTTGGTATACTTCTGAGGTTTGCATTCTCCCTCTCCTTGATAATCTTCATGAGTTCTCTCTGGGGTTCTCAACAATGTAATTTCCTGTCTTTCATATTAACTAAGACTGGACCTGGGTTTAAGTGGGTAGACATCAAAGTTCCTTTTCTTGGCCTATCAAAATTGCAATGGGTTGCAGTGCCTTCCCTCTGACAAAAAAGCTTAAATGTTTAGGGCCTGTTTTAATTTGGGGGGAGGGGGACACAAAGAATGGACAAGGTGGTGAATGGTCTGAGGAAAGCAGGCAGAGATAATTTTTCCCTCTACCCCTCACAACAAGAAAAATCAGCATCCTCTACTGAAATTAATGACAGTGTATTCAAGACAGAAAAAAAACTCTCCAAACGTAACACTTTTATGTAATTTTCTGACACAAGCTATAATGAAGAGTTCTGGGTTAGATAGTGGCTGTTCCTTCTGGGCCCCTTTGAACATTTCTTAGTAACTTCTCACTGTGAGAGGTGGAGGTTGGCTTAGTTGTGTCTTTGGTCTGATCCAGCAAGGCTTATTGATGCAGTGATGTCAAATGTCTTAGATCGAGCAGGGAGTTAAACCCAATTAACTAAACCCCTTCCAAAGGAATGAATTTATGTATACTGTGATTATAGCACTCTCATTTTGAACGAGATGCCATTTTATTTGCAGTTCCGTGCTAAAGTTCTACCAGCATATCCTGGCCTTGGCATTTGCCATCCGTGAGATCAATAACAATCCCAAGATTTTGCCAAATGTCACACTTGGGTTCCACATCCTTGACAATTACTATGAAGCAAAGATGTCTTATCGTACCACTCTGGATTTGCTTTTCAAATCACATTGGTTTGTCCCTAATTACAAATGTGGCTTCCAGAAAAATCTGATTGGTGTCATTGGAGGACTTGGCTCAGAAACCTCCTTGATCATGGGAGACATCTTAAGTCTTTACAAGATTCCACAGGTAGGACACATACATGGAGGCTGTGAGGCTTTCTCCAGTCTTACACATAATTCTCTCTTTCTGGGTGTTGCTGGTAATAATTTTTAAAGTTCAGAAAGCAGGAGAAGCATAAATGAAAAAGAAACATCGGCAAAATAGATAAGGTTGCTGAGGATTTATGGAAAACTTACTTGACAGTCAAATTGATTGTGTTTGACTGTTACGGTCAGACCTTAGCCAATCTTCTGATTTATTCTGGCTCTGGTCACACGGGCAGGAAACTGCGGGGGGGGGAGCGTGGCTGTTTGCCCCAGGGCGAACTAACGCGCGGTTGAGCGATCAGACCTCCTGTGGAGGTACCGTGGAGGTTCTGTGGGTAGGGAGAGGTGCCAATCACAGGACACGCCTGCGCACAATGAAGAAGCGTGTGGTGCGGCAAACTGGTTTTCTTTTTTTGGTACACGACAAATGCGCATGCTCCGTTGGGTGCGTGTGCGCATCCACGGAGACTTGGGGGGAAAAAACATGATCAGACACCCGCCCTTGCCCCGCCATTTTTGGAAACTAGTACCTCCGAGGTACTAGTTTTTTGCTGCGCGTTTTCGGCGGGAAGCCTCGGTTGTGCCACGGAAGCGCTACGCTTCCCAGCTGTGCTGGTGAGATCGCGCCCGGAAAATCTGCCTCTCTTCCATCTCTCTTGCGTGGCTAATGTTCCGTGTGACCGCAGCCATAGTTCAGCATCCAAAGACTCAATCTTGTGGAGTCCTCCCCCCCGCCAAAAAACCCCTGTGCAAGCATGAAAACACTGTCAATCCAAAAAGGCTGGCACCAATTAACATAATTAAGAACTATTTGGACACCTACTGAATGATAGCATTATTTTTAAAAAAATGTTTGTTTATGACCAGTTTATATGATTTGTGGTTGATTCCACTGTTTCTATTAAAAATTGCTGCTGAGCAGAGCAGGGTTTCAGCAAAGACAGGAGCAGCAGAACTCAAATCACTTTGTGCAAAAATATATGTGTATGGGGGAGGGAGGGTTTTTTTGTACTGCACTGTCAAGCAGCATGCTGAACTGCCACAAACAGGTCAGTGAACAGATGAAAGGCCCAACGAAAAATCTGCATTCTGTTTGTGATTGATGAACATGATGTAAGCTGAACCACTGGCTGTTCAAGCATGCCTAGAGTTATATGGAGTCGCACTTGGGTTCAATATTTATGGCCAAAGGTAGGGGTGATTTCAGAGACTGTAGTATGGGAACAACTCATTGGTATTGGGGAAAATAGATGGGAAACTGGATGAAAAAGGGTATGTTTATTGAAAAGGAGAAAGAAGAACCCGTATAAGGAAAGCACACTGGAAAGGGCAAGGCATCTGCAGTAAGACGCGCATATATAGTCCATGGTAGAACAAGGAGGAACAAAGTCTGGGGCACAACAGAAGGCAACTTTTATCCACAGTGGTGGTCACAGCTTGAAACTGAAACTCTTTCATTAGTATAAGGGTATCGTCTGTTAACAGTGCATCTGTCTGTGTTCAATATATGGGTGTTTGCCCTGACCTGAATGGCCCAGGCTAGCACAGTTTCATCAGATTCCCTATGTTTGGGGCACAGCAACTCCCTTCTTAAAACTAGAGTGCAATTTGGAATCTCCTAGCTTCAGCTTTGCATGATTTATACCTGCTATAGCTTTTAAGGAAAAAAAGCAGAGGGGACGGGGGTTTCTGGGAATGGTGGGCCAGGATATTTCAATTCCCTTCATGTTTGCAATGTAACTCCCATTACCTTCTTCGAGTCTGTGTCCAGTTTTCAGGCTTCTAGCTTTATTTTCAGAGAAGTTATGTCTGCTACAGACAACGTTGGCTTCCATTGCAAAGAGCATTGTGGTGGGGTAACGTCTGCACATAACCCAGGCCAAGCTCTCTTGAGTCCCTTCTTTCTTGACAATGCCACTTTCATCATCATCCTTAACTTGGTGGCCAGTTTTCAAATTCCTAGCTTTATTTTCTGGTGAGCGTTGCCTTCCAGAGGCAACAACAAAGACTTTCAAAGCAAAAAGAAGAGGGCCAGGTGGGGGGTTTCTGGCAATTACATGGGCCAGGATGGTCCCATTCCCTTCATGTTTGGCACTGCAACTCCCATGACCATCCTGAAGTGGGTGCCCAATTTTGAGAATCCTAGCTTCATTTTTTGAGGAGTTATGCGTGCCGCACATGGATGAACAGACAGATAGGTAAGCCCTTCAAGGAGCGGATGGAAAGATCCTTTTATTTATATAGATATAAATGAAACGACGTTGCAAAATTTCTAGTCTAATTCTCCCCATTGAGCAGGTTAATGGTTGAGGAAGTAGGATTGTATTCACTATTCTAATTCATTGCCTTGGAAGCAAATGCTTGCAGGAAATATAACATAGTAAGTTAAGAATATAATGAATGAGGATAGTCCTTTTCCCTCTCTGTCTCTTAGATTTCATATGGTTCCTTTGAATCAGCAATGGACGACCAAACCAGCTTCCCATCCTTTTACCGCATGGTCCCCAATGAAGCCCTTCAATATGTGGGAATGATCAAGTTACTTCTGCATTTCAGTTGGAAATGGGTTGGGCTTATAAGTTCAAATGATGATAGTGGAGAACATTTCTTGCAGATGCTGGAACCAATGCTTTCAAGGAACGGAATCTGTGCAGCCTTCACAGAAAGAATGAAAGCACTTGTGTATGTTGATACTTTGGGAGAAATGCTCCCTAACCTCTTTGGTGCTGGTCCAGATTTCCTGGAGAGGAACGCAAACGTAGTTGTTGTATATGGCGATATTTCAACCATAACACGGCTGATGAGCATTCTGTGGGTATCAAAATTAAAGCTTTTTCTAAGCGATTCTGACTTTATGGAGAGAACTTCTGCAGGAAAAGTGTGGATTATGACAGCTCAGATTGAATTTGCCTTTACAACCTTTCAGAGGTCCTTGGACATCCAAATGTTTCATGGTGCTCTTTCCTTCACCATCCACTCAAATGAGCTGACTGGTTTCCATAAGTTTATTCAGACTGTAAAGCCTTCCTGGGCCAAAGGTGACGGCTTCATAAAGGATGTTTGGGAACAAATGTTTGATTGTTCGCTTCCAGATTCTGTGGGTCCGACACAGTCCAGTGAAATGTGCACTGGGGAAGAGCGCCTGGAGAGTGTTCCAGCAACATTTTTTGAAATGAGCATGACTGGTCACAGCTACAGTATCTATAATGCAGTCTACACTTTGGCACATGCTTTATATATCATGTACTCCTCTACAGCCAACCAAAAAGCAATGAAGGATGAGAATAGACTGGCTCCCCCAAATGTGGAGCCCTGGCAGGTAATCTGTCCCTGTTGATGGAAGTATTACTATAAGGAGACCCTGCTAGCTCAGACCAGTGATCTATCTAGTCCAGCATACTGTTTCACATAGCAGCTAATTAGTTGCCTTGGAGGGCCAAACAAACAGGGCATAGATGCAAAGGCCCTCCCCTGCTGTTGCCTCCCAGCACTGGTATTCTTAGGTTTGCTGCTTCTGCAGATGGAGGTTCCCTTCACCTTTCCTCCATGAATCTGTATAACCCCCATTAAAGTGATTTGTGCCCATGAGTATCATTACTCTCATTGGCAATGAATCCCACAGTTTACTTGCCCCTTCAATCAATATTTCCTTTTGTCTGCCCTGAACTTATTTCCCCAAAATTTTGTTGCATGCCTTTAAGTTTTTGCATTACTGGAGATTGAGAGAGAAAGCGCCCTCTATCCAGTTTCTCCAACCATGAAGCCATGATTTTTCCTAGACTGAAAAGTCCCAGGGTCTCCAGCCTTTCCTCGTAGAAGAAGAAGAAGAAGAGATTGGATTTATACCCCGCCCTTCACTACCCAAAGGAGTCTCAGAGCGGTTTACAAACTCCTTTCCCTTCCCCTCCCCACAACAGACACCCTGTGAGGTGGGTGGGGCTGAGAGAGCTCTGACACAAACTGCTCTTTTTCAAGGACAGCTGTGCCAGAGCTTGTGACTGACCCAAGGTCACATCAGCAGGTGCAAGTGGAGGAGTGGGGAATCAACCCCGGTTCTCCCAGATTAGAGTCCGCACACTTAACCACTACACCAAACTGGCTCTCTACACCAAACTGGCTAGGAAAGGTGCTCCACACACCTGAATCTATCTATCTATCTATCTATCTATCTATCTATCTATCTATCTATCTATCATCTATCAATCTATCTATCATCATCTATCTATCACTGGTCATACAGCTATAGCCTTGAGCAGAAAATAAAATAATAAAATAAAATAAAACAACGCCTTACTTGATATTCTTCTGCTGCTGTTTAATTATTGCCCCTAAAACTTTTGCCACAGACAGAGTAATGGAATCATTTGTATCCTATAATAACCACATCAACTGTGCCCTCGTACTATCAGGTGCCCCATTAGACCTTTCCATCATTTTGTGATGAGTGAAGTGCCTTTTAGGACAAAAATGTCCGCTTCACTCAAAATGTATACCAAGTCTGAGGATTTTGTTTTTTTGTTTTTTCCCTCTGAGAAATTTGTGTGAGGGTTGGGGGGAGGGACTTCCTATGACACACACACACATAAAGGATGCTCCAGTTTACAACTCTTTCTTACTTTAGCATTCGGTATATTTGCAGTTTTGCTTGTAGAAAATTATCAATGCAATCCTAAACAGTGTTATCCCATTCTAAGTCCATTGTAATTGATGACCTTAGAAGGGCATAACTGTACTTAGGACTGTACTGTCAAGTATTTAAAATTCCATTAAAAATTACAGTTAATACAATGCCATATGCTAATTAAATTATATTTGATGTCCTGACCTGGATAACCCGAGCAAGCCAGATCTCATCAGATCTTGGAAGCTAAGCAGGGTCGACTTGGAAGCTAAGCAGGGTCAACTCTGGCAAGTAGAAGAAGAGATTGGATTTATACCCCGCCCTTCACTACCCAAAGATGTCTCAGAGGGGCTTACCAACTCCCTTTTCCTTCCCCTCCCCACAACTGACACCCTGTGAGGTAGGTTGGGCTGAGAGAGCTCTGACAGAAACTGTTTTTTTCAAGGACAGCTGTGCTAGAACTATGGCTTGCCCAAGGTCATCCAGCAAGGTGCAAGTGGAGGAGTGGGGAATCAAACCCGGTTCTCCCAGATTAGAGTCCGCACACTTAACCACTACACCAAACTGGCTCTCCAAGTACTTGGATGGGAGACCTCCTTGGAATACCAGAGGTGGAAGGCAGGGGCAGGCTTTATTCAGCCACCTCTCTGAATATCCTCCAGGCCCCCAGTAGGGGTCAGTCTCCAGAGGTTGCCATGACTTCCAGGTGCACAGACTCTCTGTCACACATATAAAAAACCAAAAAAACAAAATATATATATATATGATTATTCTTATATTGTTAAAGCAGTAATATAAGTTTAGGTTTGATAGGGAAGTAAATATTACGTGTTATTTCCAATTTCCCCCAAAAAATATTTTCCCCTCCACAACAACAAATATAAACCTGAGGAAAAAATCCCCACATGGCCTCAGAAATTTTATATTTCTAATCCAGAGTGGGATGCTGTCCACTAAAATTCAATAAAATATTAATTTAAAAAGATACAAAAGTTTTGCTCTCATAAACTGGGTGTCTCCTAGATTAAAGAATCAAAAACCTCTCACAGAAAGTTGGTTTTTAAATCCTTTTGATAATATTGTTGCACCGTCTATGGTTGGTTTGATCCTCCCTCCCTGCCCCCCCTTTCTGCCTAGCTGCACTCATTTCTGCAGAGAGTCTCATTCAACAACAGTGCTGGAGATGAAATTGTGTTCAGTGATCATGGCGAACTAGAGGTTGGATTTGACATTACAAACATGGTGACTTTCCCAAATAATTCCTATGCCAGAGGGCAAGTTGGAAGGCTAGATCTTCAGACCACTCTAGGAGAAGAGCTCACTATTCAACAGAACAAAATTGAGTGGCACAGAAGTCTGAGTCGGGTAAGAAACCTGCATTGTCTCTCAACGGACAAAATCAGTCATCGATCCAAACTGGTTTTGTCAGTAGATTTACAAGAATATTGCTTCTTCACACCATGTGATAAAATTCACTGACATGGCAAGTAATGGTGGCAACATTTGGCTTTGTGAAGCATGGGAAGTTAATTGTTCTTGGAATCATATCATTCTTTCAGTGGTATAAATTTTTCACAATGGGTGTACCATCGGTGAGATCACAGGTACTATATTTCATCACTCCCCTGTAGTGGTTTATTGTGACTCTGGGGTGGGAGATCAGAACTCAGTTCATGATTGATCCCTTCTGATCCACACCCACCCCTGGAAATATTGCTTCATCCCCACAAAAGATCTGGAAGTTTCCCAGGAAGGCAATTAGGAGCCAGTCCTCAGGATGGAAAGGAACAGGCAAGAGAGCTTGCTCTATGCTCTGTGTAGGAGGGTATGCCTTCATCAGTATATTCTGCTGCTTAATTCAAAATGTGTAGTGCACAGGAGTACACTGCAGTTGCTTGATAGGGAAGGATAAAAACACTGCATTTAATTATTTCTGCTTTAAAAGACGGATTCTTTGAGTTTTCATCTTCCAGAAAAGGCCTGGACTTCTCTCAGGATTACAACTGATCTCCAGATTTCAGAAACAAATCCCAGATTTGCAGGGGGGGGGAACTGAAACAAAAATGCATTAAAAAAAACAAAACCAGAATGTACCGCTTTAATAAGCAGATGCCATCAATAGTTGTTGCTAGGCAACCACAACAGTATTCAAGCCTTGGCTTCTGTTTGGAAAAGGCAGGGGGATGGGTCCCCCACTTGTATTTATATTCTTTATTAATTTTTTAAAATATTCTGTTAAATATAGCACAGTGTTGTCAATAATCTGTAACTGCAGAGCAAGGAATAATTTTTTTCACAATTATAGGCCATGTTTCCAGTTCCTTCTGCATAGGAAAGCATAAGCATTGATAGGCTGACTAATTTATACTCTGTCTAGAGCTCACTGGTCCTTTACCACACTTAAATATGAATTCTTCCTTTCTTCAAGGATAGGTTCCTCCCTTCTCTGTATGTAATCAAAACTGCCATCCAGGATACAGCAAGAAAAAGAAGGAGGGGGAGAAATTTTGCTGCTTTGATTGTGCCCCGTGTCCCAAAGGGATGATCTCAAACCTGACTGGTAAGGGATATGCTGGTAAAAATATTCTTTGAATGAAATATACAGGAATTCTGTGGGACTGGAAGTCTGAGTGCCCTATAGAGTTGGAAAGAAATGCATTTTTGGGGTAGAGGGCTGACAAGTTAAACCTTTACCCGGAGGGTTTAAAAATTTTCCTCTCTGGACAAAGAAAAGGCAGGAAGGGTAATCTTAGTTAAATTGCTTTCCAGACTTACCTCAGCTAACTTTCATACAAATGCTAATAGATCTAACAGGAGAGATAATGAGTGGGTCAGATTCTCCCCCTTCTCCAAGCAGGGAACAGAGATTTGGAGGACTTTAGGCTAGGAAGACTCTCCAGGAAAAGCTTCTCTCACATGGCCTGGTCTGGTCAGTGGGTGTGGAAAAGAGAGAGAAGATAAAACTCCTGGAAACTAGGAGGAAGGACTCTTTTGTCCATCAGAGCAGACAGAACTGAGGTCTAAAGGAGGTGGCCATTGCCATGTGCTGGCCTGGACAGCTGAAGGAAGCTGCAAGGTAATGATAACTCTGTAGAGATCCATAACGTTCTAAGCTAAGTAGCCTGCCCTATATTTAACAACAGATAGGGCGTGTATTTATTTATGTATTTGATTTATATCCCCACGAAGACAGGCTCAGGGTGGCTTACAGTCATATATATATAAATACATTATACAAATATTCAAACAGATAAAACAGTTAAAACCACAATAAAATGCAAAATGCTAGCAGTGCAAGTAAACAATGGTGGCATTCGTTCGGCATCCAGATATACCAATCGCCATACTCCAGGTTCCTTGCCAGGCTATCAGATATTACTTTGGTGCTGATGTTACTTTGGTGCTGATGCTAGGGCCAGGGCCACGATGTTACCGGTGGCCCCCTAATCAAAAGCCTGGTGAAAGAGCTCCATTTTACAAGCCGTGTGGAACTGCAGGAGGTCCTGCAGGGCCCTGATGTCCTCCGGGAGCTCATTCCACAAGTGCGGGACCGCCGCAGAAAAGGCCCTGGCCCTCGTCACCGCTAACCTGGCTTCTTTAGGGCCCGGGAGGGCCAGGTGGTGTTGGGTTCCCGATCTTAGTGCCCTCTGGGGAAAATGTGGGGAAAGGCGGTCCCTCAGGTAAGCAGGTCCCTTACCATATAGGGCTTTAAAGGTCAAAACCAGCACCTTGAACCGAATCTGGTATGCTATTGGCAGCCAGTGCAGCACTTTTAGGGTGGGCTGTTCCCACACAGGAAGGAACAGCAACAACCTCGCCACTTCATTCTGCACCAACTGCAGCTTCTGGATCTGGGACAAGGGCAGCCCCATGTAGAGAGCATTGCAGTAATCCAATCTCGAGGTGACCATTGCGTGGATCACTGTTGCTAGGTCATTGTATTCAAAGAAGGGAACCAACTGCCTAATCAGCCGTAGATGGTAAAAGGCAAAATTTGCAGTGCCTGCTACCTGGGCCTCCATCGTTAAGGAGGCATCCAGGAGCACTCCCAAACTCCTAACCTCTGTCACTGGCACCAACGGCGCCCCATCGAAGGTTGGGAGTAGGATCCCTAACCTTGGTCCACTCCGACTCAGGCACAAGACCTCCATCTTCGTTGGATTCAATTTCAATCAACTCAGTCTAAGTCAACCAGCCACGGCTTTCAACGCCAGGTCCAGATCTCTGGACTAGAGTCTGACTGGCCGCCCAACAACAGATAGAGCTGGGTGTCATCCACATACTGGTGACAACCCAGCCCATGCCTCCAGGCAACCTGGGTAAGGGGGTGCATGTAAATGTTAAATAGCATTGGGGAAAGTACCACCCCTTGTGGCACTTCACAATCTAGCGGGTGCCTTCGGGACAGCTGTTCTCCCAGTGCAACCCTTTGTCCCCAACCCTGAAGGAACGAGGAGAGCCACTGCAAGGCAAACCCCTGAATCCTGGTGTCGGCGAGGTGGTGGGTCAGTAGTTTATGGTCGACCATGTTGAATGCCGCCAACAGGTCTAACGACAACAACACTGCCGTGCCGCCTCGATCCAGATGCCTCCGGAGGTCATCTGTGAGGGCAACCTGGACCGTCTCTGTCCCGTGGCCTGATTGGAAACTGGACAGGAAGGGATCTAATATGGAGGTGTCATCCAAGAGGGATGGATAGAGGAATTGCATTTTTACCTTTTCTTTTGAATCCCTTGCCCAGTCTGGTGCTGTGCTAAAAGTATACATGTGAACATTTTCTTTTTAATAAATATTTTATAACTTTTGTTGCTGGTAGTGTAGACCTCCACCATCTTGGACACACTATTTTAAAAGAAGTGCCAGGAAGGGGGCATCAGTTGGCAAGTGGCTATTCCCCCAGTGGCCCACAAGGCAGTAAACTGTCCCTGTGGTGACCAGTGCTGGGCAGTGGAAGACACAGAGGCAAGGCCTCAGAACTTGGAAGGAAAGCTGGGAGTCCTGACTGTCCCAGTGCGCAATTCCTAAAACAGTCAGGTGATGGTGGCAAGTTATCAGAGAGAAAAGCCTCTCCAGGTGTTGAGAAAATCTTGAAAGGCAGGATGGAACAGGGCCAGCAGGCCAAAGTGGGATTGTTCCACCACTAGAGTATTTAAATCTCTGCAGCTCTGAGGATTTTTCTTCTTCATTGATTGTAAACACAAAGATTATGTGTTTCTATGTTGAACATTTATCCAAGGATTTTCAGTTATTTCCTTAGAACATAGGAGAAATTATGGGAACTTCAGCCATGTTATCATTAAGTATATTTTATATGTAATACCTGAAAGTTCTGGAAATGTTGAACATAAAAAGACACTTTTTCTTTTTGGTGCATTGCAAGATGTCCAATAAGCACAAATGTGAAATAATTATTTGCTGTTTAATAAAAGAGGACTCTAAGGTGGAATAGGCACCAATAACTAGCTCTCTTATAAGGAAAACAATGTCCAATATGTTGTCGAAGGCTTTCACAGCCAGAGTTCATTGGTTGTTGTAGATTTTCTGGGCTGTATGGCCATGGTCTTGGCATTTTAGGACCTGATGTTTTGCCAGCAGCTGCAACTGGCATCCCCAGGCTGTGGCATGCTAATGGAGGAGCTTTTAAAAGAACCTCCTCAGGAAGGCTTCTCCATTAACATGTCACAGCCTGGGGAATTCCTACAAGAAAATGACTCAGACTTACCCCGCCTTCCTACCACTTTTCTTCTCACCTTGACACAGAGAGTACTCCATCTTTCTGTGTTATACCTCTTAGGATGCCAGTCACAGCTGCTGGTGAAACATCAGGTCTTACAATGCCAAGACCATGGCCATACAGCCTGGAAAATCTACAACAACCAAAACAATCTCCTTTAACAAGTCTGAGGCATCTAAATGAACCACAAAGATCCTACTACCATTTTTTTATTCATTATGTCAATAACTTGCATCCTACGCATGAGCCACTTATTACATACGTTAGAAGAGTCAAGTTGCAACTGAGTCATGGCGATCCTGGCAAGGGAGAAGCAGGGATAGTTTGCCATTGCCTTCCTCTGCAGAGTCTTCCTTGGTGGCCTCCCATCCAAATGCCAAACCTGCTAAGCTTTTGAGATCTGACAAGATCGGACTATATCATGCCAGCTTCCCTGCTCATGCATCCCATATTACCTGTAGATTTTCAAGTAGAGAGTTCCAGGTTCAATCCATAGCATTACATGTTATGTATTCTCAGGTTAGCATAGGATTACGCAAGTGCTTTTACTCAGGATTGCACATACTAAGAAAAATCTTCTAAAGCTGCTCTCTATTTTTGTTCCCCATTGTGAATGCTTTAAACTAAGTGTATCTTCTTTTAATAGACTTGGATTACTGTGTCACTTGCTTGGAAGATCACTATCCAAACACCATTCAAGATCAATGCATCCCCAAGACTTTAAGCTTCCTCTCCTTTGCAGAACCTTTGGGAATACTATTAGCCTGCTTAGCTGTTTTCTTTTCTCTGGTGACAGTTCTGGTGCTTGGAATCTTCATAAAGCACCAGGACACTCCCATAATCAAAGCCAACAACCGGAGCATTACCTATGTTCTCCTCATCTCTCTCCTTCTTTGTTTCCTCTGCTCTGTGCTCTTCATCGGACAGCCTAATGAGGTGACCTGCCTCCTCCGACAAACAACTTTTGGCATCATTTTCTCAGTTGCTGTGTCTTCTGTGTTGGCAAAAACCATAACAGTGCTGGTGGCTTTTGTGGCATCTACGCCAAGAAATATTTTCAGAAAATTGTTGGGGGGGAAATTTGCACATTCTATTATCATTTGCTTCTCCCTTGTTCAAGTGGGCATTTGTTCTGTTTGGTTAGCTACTTTCCCGCCATTCCCAGATTGGGAAATGGACTCCATGATGGAAAAAATCACAGTGAAATGTAATGAAGGCTTGGTCACCATGTTTTACATTGTCTTAGGCTACATGGGATTTCTAGCCACCATGGGCTTTGTTGTCGCTTTCCTAGTAAAAAGGCTACCTGACAGCTATAATGAAGCTAAGTTTATCACCTTCAGCATGTTGCTCTTTTGCAGTGTTTGGCTGTCTTTCTTACCAACCTATCTGAGCACAAGTGGAAAAGAGATGGTGGCTGTGGAGATCTTCTCCATCTTGGCCTCCAGCATGGGATTACTGGGCTGCATCTTTTTGCCAAAATGCTATATCATAATCATGAAGCCTGAGCTGAACAAAAGAGAACAGCTGATAAGGAAAAGGCATCAATCTTTTTAATTGTCAGTCTGGTTGCTGCATCCCCATTGAGGACCTGAGGATGTGTCTCTTTATGAGAACTAAAATTTTGTTTAACTACTGCAAATTCTGCAAATACTGCAAAAAAATGTTGAGTTGAAGCTCAACATGAAAAAAACTAAGATCATGGCATCCGGCCCCATCACTCCTTGGCAAATAGAAGGGGAAGTCGTGGAAGTAGTGACAGACTTCACATTCCTGCGATCCCAGATCACCGCAGACTGTGACAGCAGCCATGAAATTAAAAGACGCATGCTCCTTGGGAGGAAAGCGATGGCGAACCTAAACAGCATGATGAAAAGTAGAGCCATCACCCTGCCAACAAAAGTCCGCATGGTCAAAGCAATGGTATTCCCAGAAGTCATGTATGGCTGCGAGAGTTGGACTATAAGGAAGGCCGAGTGCCGAAGAATAGATTCTTTTGAACTATGGTGCTGGAGAAGACTCTTGAGAGTCCCTTGGACTGCAAGAAGATCAAATCAGTCAATCCTAAAAGAAATCAACCCTGACTGTTCCCTGGAAGGCCAGATAATGAAAATGAAGCTCAAATACTTTGGCCACCAAATGAGAAGGGAGCACTCACTAGAGAAGACCCTGATGCTGGGAAA